GCAGGAGAGAGGTCAATAACATCAGAAATGAAGTTGTGATTTTCCTCCCTGCCACGCTTCTCATATGCTACTATATTTCTTTTTCTGTGCAGAGCAAGAAAAGAGTTGTGAGTCTGGGAAGGAACAGACTACTGATTAATTATCTGTAGAGGGTTACCACAAGGTGGAAGTGCTCAGAAGCCCCTCTGTGAAACAGGTGAAGGGCTAAGATGACCATGCTCATGCAACAGCGGGGAAGAACACTTGTAGTAACTGAACACTTCCATGGAGCAGCTGGAGTCCGATTAACAGTTAAGGGGTCCTGATTCAGCAAAGTACTTGCTAAACTTTCAGCCTTTTTTGCCAGATGTAGTGTAAGGAGAAGTTCAGAAAAGGGTAGCTGGGACATTAAAGCCTCTTTTCCTCAATCAGAGTCCTGAGGGTCTAATAGTACATGGGGGAGTTTTAAGTCAAGTAACTCAGCCATTAAGGAGCTAAAAGAAAGTGTAAGCAACAGATCACACCCCATGTTAGTCTGCACGGTCTCCTGACTCCTCGATATTTACGTGAAACCAATTTAGACTTTTCCAGACATTAGCAAAGCAAGTGTAAATAACGTGAATGGCTTTCAGACTGTATGTGGATCACACTTATGCATCCCTTCTGAATTGGAAGTTGATAAAGTCAGCCTACACATAGGCAGCAAAAGTAAGGGAAGCAAATCTGAGTTACTCAGGCTCTTCCTTTTTCCTTTGCTAAGAACAAGCTAAACACGAAAGCATTTTCACTCAGAGCTAGGGAAGTCATTCTTGTCACCTCTCACACAAGGAGCGTTCCCAGTCCGATGCCTGCCTCTGTGCCCTGTAATTTCTTTTCTCCTTTCTAAGCTCAGTCCTACTGTGAAGCACTCCTCTGCTGGTATCCCTCTTGTGTGTGAACTGCTGTCCTAGGGACTGTATGGGGGTGGGATATATTTTAGGCTATTGCAGGAAGGGAGCTTGCCTTTTGATGTATATTGCAAAGTGCTGCACGTGCTGGCAGCCCCTTATAAATAACACCACCAGCTTGCTTTGCACTTTGATGGAGGAAAGTACTTACAGTAGTTTTCTTTAGGGATAGCAGAAGGGGTAGGAGGAACAATGGTCCTTTTCTTAAACTTAAGCGTTGTCTCTTGCAGAAGATAAAAGTGAGTTAAAACCTTGCATCCTATCACGGGTGTTCTACATGTGTTTTCTGTTGCTTGTTGGGTGACATGCTGGTAAACAGAGATGCTCTCCTCTCACAGACAGCTGATTTTGCTTTTCCTTTTGATTTCTCAGTGGCCCTGCACAGTCAAGCTTGCCTGAGCTCAGCAGCAATAGCTGCTGGACGACACTTTCTCTCTGACTCTGTAGCTGCTGTTTTCAGGCTCTCAGATGTTTCTTGCTTCTACTGAGCAGATTTTTGGCCAACATCTCTGTCTCAGATGCGCTGATTCCAGCTGATTCCTCAGCCTACGATTTTGCTCCACTTATACAAGATTGCTCTGAATCAATCACCACTATCAGGCAGAGGTGAATCCACAAAGCCCTTTTCAGAGAAGTGTTTCTATTAGAAATTTCAGAAAGTGCTGCCAATGTAATTTACAAAAAGGTTAATTTATTATTGAGAGACCTTGATTGTCCATTCCTTTATAATGTCTTGCATTGTAATTCAGACGAATGGGATATAAAAATGCTATTAAAAATGAAAACTTTCCTAGAATAATCTTTTTTCCCCTCCACCTGAATTGCCTGTATTATGCAAAAGTATAAGCTTTGACAGGCATTACGATGCTGTATTCTCCCCAGGTTTACGCGCAGTGGCATGTAACAGGCACACATTTTGACACCACCTAACTCTTTAGTGATGATGGTTCCACATCCTTTTAGAAAACAGGCTAAACTGCCACCTCAGGCCCCCAAAATCAGTGCTAATGTTCCTGAGTGGACTTAGTTATAGCTATATCAGATTCTAAAACTGTATGATGGACAGCCTCACAATTTATGAATTTAACGCTGTGTTACCAAACTGGGAATACAGATGCTTTTTTCCATTTTTCTCCAGTTTTCACTGGAATAAAGGAGGCCAAATCATTTCAGACAAGCACTGTACAGTAATTGCAGTTGATATTGTCATACAGAGCCTGCAATGATTTTACTGGCTCTGAAAAGTTCGGTCTGTTGGAACATAGCACATATACTTGGAAAATCAGCACCCTTTCCATTCGACATTTTTATTGCTGAAATAAAAGCTACGGTCCTTTACTCAGGTGAGTCCTTACTCACAGGGGAGGTTTGCCCAAGGAATGACTGCACAGTTTGGCTTTATGAACTTATCATTATGATCACCATTATCAATTTTGCACTTTCTACTATTATCTGTGATTATTAATTAATGCTTAATGCATTTTCCCAGCAGTTCTATCAGCCTCGCAGCATCTCTGGGGAAATGGCACTCTCCTCAGTTTTACGTGGTGAGCAGCTGAAGCATGAGCCTGGGTTGGGTGAGAATTAGCACATCAATCAGGATTCAGGAGTTCCAGGCTGCTGGTCCTCAGATCACTGGATCCTACTTCTTCCTGCATCGCAGCTATACCTTTCAAACACACTCTCACTGTAAGCCCTATGCCTGTGCAATAATAGAGGGAGATTTTTCTATGTGCTCCTGCCACAGAAATCAAATTAAATGGCAGCTTGTCTCTGACAGTCAACACAACAATTCTGCAGGTTCCTCACCCCACACAGATAGATCTAAGGCTCCCATCACGTGTGACTTGATTTATTTGTTTGGCATTGCAATTTTACACCCTGGTTCATAAACACTGTGTCAGGTTGCTGTATCCTCTTTACTCTGGCACTGACAAAAATTATAACACTACAGTACTATAGCATTTATAGACTTAGAATGTAGCAACCATGTCTTGCCAGACCTCATGAATACACTAGAAAGGTTCTGAAGCATTACACTACATTTACACAAAACACCTGCTTTGATTTTTTCTTTAAACAATCTGTTGAAATCTAGACTAAGAAGAAAGGCACCACCTTGTTAAGGCTATTACATTTTTTTTATGGTACTTATAAAAACGCTGCACTTCGGCCAAATTCTAGCCAAGACACATCTCCCTACCTACAACTTCTACTTATCTCAAGTGAGTTTCAAAGTGCATAGCTTGTACCTAAACAGTTTTTCCTGTACACTATAGCTTTGTGTTGCTATACAGCTGCCAGTGGGCAAAGTGATTCCCACGCATGGGGCAGAGCTCTCTCTTGCTGTATAGCAAAAGAAAACTTCCTTGTACTGAAAGACAGAATGATTCAAGGTCAGCAGGGGATATATCACGGACTGTTCTGTTTATCACGTGGTCAGAAAGGTATAGCAGAGTATAAACAAAAAAAATAGGATTGCCTTAAAGTCAGTGTGACATGCTTCTCACCCACACTATTCCCCTATTTTTCAAAGGCAAATTAAGAATGTTTTGTCTTCCCCACCCCCGCCCATGTTAGTGCAAGGAAGCCAAGAGAAAAGTCTGGCTAGAACACTTAGCATGGCTTTGAAAACAAGAACAACTAGTGACTGTGCTTTAAAAGTGTTTTCTGCTGTGAGAGTCTTACCTATTTCGCTGTGATGGGAAACTTTAAACTGAAGAAATTCTTAGATAAGGAAAAAACTGTCGCTTTCAGAAGAATACCCGGAGGTTCTTTTGGGCAGAAGGTGGTCGGTGTAAGTAAAAACTCAAATTGCTAAAGCAAACTAAGTGAAAGTAAATCCACATTGCATAGTGCAAGACTTCAATTTCATAAACTAACACGCAACTATTTCTAGTGTTGCTTAACTGTGAGCAGGACTGAACATGTGCATTTCCAGGTTTTAAATTTAACACAGAGTATTGCAGAAGTATTTCCACTTCTGCATTAGATAAACTTTAGCGCTAAAATGGAATATTGGGATCTTAATGACTTTGCTTTAGTAACACCTAAACTTTTAATTAACCTGCCAAGACAAATTACAGCCCATAGCTCTTAGGGAACTATTGCAGACAGCTGAGACTCAACACCAATGCCTCTTCTGGGAGAGGGATTAATGGCAGCTTTGGAATGAGTCTGCTTTTTTCAGCAAAGAAAAAAAGTCCATTAAACAATCACTGTGGCTAGAAGAAAGCTGAGTGCTAGCTTTACGGAGCAATCTTTAAATTACTACCAAATGAATTTGGGTATACGAACAGTTTCAGAAGGTTAGTCAAATTTAAAATTAAATATTATTGAATCAGAATCAGATTCTGATATTGACAGGGTGAAGAAAGAATACCCAGTGTGCTAGGCTGTCAGGCAGCCACAGGCACCATCCTTTCCTCCTTGGACAGCAACAAATTGGTACCTTTGCACTGAACTGGCAGGGCACTTTACTGCCAGAGAAAATTAGAGACCTGTTTAGACAATTTGTTCTTCTTAAGAAATCTCAGCTTCTTTCTGCTAGCAAGGAGAAACAGAGATTCCTGTTATTGTGGCTCCTACTACCAAGCCTTGCAGTGCTCTTTATTGGAGTTTTAATGCCAGTACTCTGCCTGAACTCCAGCTTGAGTAGTTTTGATGGTGCTCAAAGGCAGGACCGTCTGTCACACAGAACTGCTGCATGGTGCTGCTGTGCACTCTTCTATCATTCCTATACCTCTGCTCCAGGAAGATTAAAAAAACCCAACCAACCAAACAAAAAACCTAAATAAAAAGAAGATCAAAGGAAGAAAATGAAGCAGGGAATTTCAAGCTTGTAATCCATCTTTGGCACTGAGTAGAATCTCGTTATGGATATAGTTACTGAAAAGGTCTACAAAATACTTTGAGATACTTAGGGCCTAACAGTATTCAGCCTGTTGCTAAATACATCCCCTACAAGCATTCTCTCTGAAACCACACAAAGCTACCATGCAATTTGAGTATGTGCGTTAATACTTGGCCTCAAGGCATATTTAGGAGTTTAGGAATAAAGCAGGAAATCCTTACCAATAGCAGTAGTAAGAAAAGAAACCACTTCTGATTCCTTGCCATCATTGTAGAAGGCTAAATGCCATATTCCTGAATCTAAATACTGGATAAACCCTGTCTCATGGCTGGACAAGGGCACAAAAGCTCTGTGCTGCCGCTGAGGTCCTTCTAAGCTTCTTGCCTCCTGTGTCAGTAGACGTCTTCCATCAAGGAGCTCGACAAAGTCAAACTGAAACATAAAAAAGAGTGATGTTTGTGTGTATTTCAGGCTTCCTCAAGCTTAGTCTCTTGCTCTGGGTCTGTCTTATGAGGCAGACAGACATACTTCATATTAAGTATTAGAAACGTACATCTACAGAAGCATCAGAAATAGGATTTTCTCTGGTAACTCAAGTATGTTCCTGGACTACCTGCAAGTAACCATTTGGGAAATATCTAGTATATGAAAGTATTTTTCTGTAATTACGTGAATCAAGAAATCACCTTTATTTAGAATGTGATTTGGGGCATATTGGCCCTACAGATGTGTTCTCATTCCGTAGGAACATAGGCAGGGAAACATGAGGTCCAGGGACCATGCCTAAATTGCACTGTAAGTATAATGATAAGCTTATTTGTTAGCTTCTTTGTGCTTTGTCTAATAAGGCAAACAGACAGAAAAATGTATCCAGCCTAGCTGGTTGTTTGCCAGAATTGCTACGGGTCACCAAGAAAAAGGTAAGAGGTATTTGTAAGTAAATTCTGGTAGAGGTCTTGCAGAAGTATCTTCCTTAGTCAGCAAGGCTTTTATCTTAAAGCAATAGCAAAAGTGGTTAAAAGATCATAGAAGACGAAGATGGAAAAGAGATAAAGGAATATATACAAGTCCCATTTAGGGGGTGGCTTCTGGAATTTTTCCTCAAAAGGACATATTTATTTTTTGCCAGGGTAACCAGCTAAACAACTGCTTTGATTTTGCTACTAGTATTGCAACTACCTTTAGTTCCTTATTTAAGTAACTTTCCACTAACTTTCTGCAATAATTGTATTTTGGCTGGTAATATATTAATGGGCTGATTCAGATACAAGCCTAGCAGACATCACAAATGTTAAGTGAACCTTATCTAATCTGACTTTTATCATGTGTTGAGGTGAACAGGACATCTTGAGAGCAGAATCCAGCAGTTGGGGCACAGCTTAGCTTTTCCATTCCCTGACTTCACTTGGTTTTGCCTCTCTCATCCAGTTGGTCAAATAAGCTTGTAGTTTTTGGCAGGAAAGAGGAAAACAGGCAGAAAGAAACACCACTTATTTTTGTACAATTAACTGTTGGTGCACTGAATGGCTGCTGAGTGTCGGCTAAGTGTGGCAGCAATATTTAGACTTTTGACTTCACTGTAACAAAATTCGCGTGCTTCTGTTTTATTATTGTCTGGTGTGGTCTTTAAAGTCAACCCAGATAAGGACTTGATGACATGTTCTTTCCTCTGCAGCCATTGCTAAGTTAAAAAAAATTAAAAGTGTTTACTTCCAACAACATTTTGAGAAATAAGCTACATATGATATAGTTTGCACATGAAATGGCAAAATTTGTCCCTAGAGTATTTTAATTACAGTATTTTTAATTATTTATTTACATGAAATAACTTTTGAGCCTTGCTTTAATTTTTTTGTTGTATTTCAGTATATAGATCACTGAAATTTGGTGCTGAAGTGTCTTTTGAGACCATAAAAGCTGGCACACCTGCAAAGGACATTCCTTTTTGATGTCTGTCCAAGTTAGCTTTATCAGAGACAGTTTCTGTTTTGAAGGAATACAATGTAAATACAAATTATAAAAATGTAACACAAAAATATAAAATCTAAAACCATAATGGAAATATAAAATCTAAATATATATAATTAAAAATATAAGTTTCTGTTTTGAAAAAAATACGATGCGTTAGTGATTTTAAAAGATGATGCTAGTGAGTGATAGGTTGGTTTGACTGACACTGTGTGAGCCAGGTATTTGTAGACCCACTGAGGATGAGCTATTGTCTATTCCTCATCAGCTCTCAGTATGGGTATGACACAGCTGAGAAAGACAGTGACAGAGGTTTGGTTGCTGTTTGGTTGCTGGGAATGTCTCGACGGGGTTGAGTCTGACTGAGGAACACATTGGCCAGGTGTACTGAAGAAGTTAAAACCAGTAAAAGAAAAACCTACATACTTCCATTTCCATTTTGGAGCATGATGGGACAGATTGACTGGATTTTTAAAAGGTACAGGTAACTGCAGACACCATAGGTAAAGTTCATCTCACCAAGTGCTGACATCTCTGTGGCAGCTTAAATTAGTTTTCTAGAACTACTGGATTGCCATCAAAGAAAGAGACGCATCTAGAATGCAATCTGCCTCATCGTAAAGTTGACATCTAAGAAATGTCTCATGGATTGTGCCTTATGAGCATCCATTTCTTGCTACATACTACATGTAGATGCTTAAAGCTTAGTGAGATGAAAACAATTTCAAGGCACCCAGCTACAGTGAGCTGCTGTTGTTGCAGTCCAGTCTGGGTTATGCTTACTTGGGGCTTCTGGCCAAAAGTAAAAGTTTATTTTTGTAAATATTTGCAAGATGCTGCTGCGGATGTTGATGAATTTGCAAGGAAATCGTAGATAAAATACCACGTTAATACAAATTGTACAAATGGAAAATGCCTCCTACAAGCTGTGATGGCCCTAAAATTTATGATTTAACAAAATTTGGCCCAGGTTAAAAAGAGTTTAAAAAATTATTTGATCTAGGAAGATTAAATCTAATAGACCATAATAAAAATGTGTCACTTTTATTATGATTTGTTGAGAAGAATGAGAAGAAATGCCTTTAGTTAACAGTAAACTAGTTTAGGCTTCTGCAGGCTGTATTTCAAAGACTACAGAAATTTGGAGCTTGCATTTTCTTCCTACTTATTTAGTGTCCATGGTTGTTGACAACCTCAACTAGAAGACAGATCATCACAGGCAGAGGAAGTTTCCCAAAGAGCCTCTGGAATAGTTTGTTGTTTCAGCATGGATAAATATTACTTTTAATATTTTACCAAATTCAGGAATATATGCTAAGCATCTAAAGCTTTGGGATCAATTCAAAGATCCTGAAAGAGAACAGACTATGTTAAGGCGCATGCTACAGAAGATGGATTATCTAAACAGAAGAAATATCTAATTATCTAACACAGAAGAAAATCTGATTATCAGCTAGAATTTTACTACTGCCATCAACTACATAAGCTGGGGAAAAAAAATTGACCATTTATTAAATTCTTCCAGGGGAGATTGCATCACTGCTCTAAGCATACGTTTTGCCAAAGTCTTGTTTATGAAATTCCTTACAAAATTTGGAGATATAAAACCCATTCAGTAGATTTATGGGGTGCAGCAGATACTGTGGATTATGCAAGAAAAAAGATGAGATTTGTGTAATATGTACTAACTATGAGAGACAAGTGTACAATTTCAACACAGAAAACGTTACCTATTTAACGACTCCTAAGGCTAATAAACTTTGGTGAGATTAAATGTTAAGGATTAAACTTCATATAAAAATATACAGGAGGAGAACAATGTTTTAATTGACAGCAAGTTTATAAAATAATAAATCTAGGAACAGGGATCCTTTCAAAATGAAATTAAATATTAACAAGTAATATATCAATATTGTTTCAATAGCTGCAGTTTCATTAAGTTATTTCTTCAGAACAGGGTGGGGTTGGGGCTCTGTTTCTATTAGTGTACCATGACTTTTATTGTTTGAATAAAAATGTGCCTCTGGTCATTTTTGGTGATGTTTTAGTCCAGATGATGATTTTTTTACATACTTGGCAGCTCTCAATTAGTGGCTACACAAAAAGCAGCACTTAAAAGGACTCTGAGCAAGTGCATTGCCTCCTCCAGCATGTAATATTGGCAAACATGTGCCACATCCCACATTTAATGTCTCACTCTCAGCTGAGGCTTCAACTGATACACAACCATGCTATTTTAAATGGGAAAGGTCCTGACACTGACAAATCACTCAGAACATCCCAGCAAAAATGAGGTTAAAGAAAAAACAGCGGCAATGGTGAAGTCAGTGTGGGCTTCTTAATTGCTTAAAACATTACTATGGTTGGGTGTAGCGCCCTGCTACATTTAAAGATTTTAAGTTCAATAGACTTGAGGTTTAGGTGTCAAATTTTACATTTGTTATTTAAACAATTGAAACTATTCATGTAATAACTCCTGTTCCATAACAGAAATTAATAATGATAATAAACAAGTAAAATCAGACTTAATATAGATCTCTGATCTACAATTAGTATTATGTGACCACAACTTGAATTTTTATTTAAACAATACGGGAGTTTTAAGTTTTAAATATTTTAATCTCCCTGTAAAAAGAGACTGATTAAAAATGGGCAATAACAGCACTACTGTGTCACTGAATTTATGACCTGCTGATCCTATTGAAATATTTTAATTCTGCAGAAAAGTAGGCAGAGAAAGCATAGATTTATGACACCTCTGACATAAATAAGTTGCAGGTGTGTTACATGTAGAAAATACCATATTACCCAGAAAGACTGTAACAAACATATTTGTTTGTTCAAGAAGAAAATAAAGGTAGGGTATTTCTATAAATCTCAAATAGCTGGTTGGTTGCTAGGCTTTTTGGTTAATATAGTAGAGGGCAAGGATAAGTTACAACATTAATACAAACCTGGTAATATTTTGATAACTTGCTGATGCAAGTGGGAGTAAGATGCTTTGCATTGCCAGTGACAGTTATGCCCTAATGTATTAATCAATCTGGTTAAGAGCAGCTTAAAAACTGAAATGGAAAGTAGAGAAAATAATGTATAAAACTCTTATTTAAGGGGATGGTTCTTCAGAGCTTTTCCCAGAAAGTGATTTCTTGACATGGCTTTTACCAGGGTCTGTCAAGACCCATTTTATTCCTACAGAATAATAACAGAATAATAACTATTATATATATATAATAACAGAATAATAACTATTATCTTCATGTCTTCTTAAGTAAGCCAGTGGCTTTCTGTAAAAATTTGATTTTGTTTGGTTATACACCAATTACTGGGCCCTGACCAATCTCAGTCTAATCTGACAGTCAACATGCCTCATGTGAAGAGTTGGCTCAAGGCATTTCAGCACAGAAGACAAAAGTGAATCTTCCCCCCACGAGGGTGAGAGACTGGGGTCTTGCTGCTCTTACCATGCGAGCAG